TTGGGTCACTATGTTCACAAGGCGCAAGACCTTTCCTCAACACTCCTCACAGCATGCAACTGCTCTCCGGTCGGGTAGGGTTGGAAGGCAAGAGGCTTCTTTTTCCCCATTAAGAATCAGTAAATAGCATTTCTTTACACTAACAGTGAACAGTCTGAAAAGGATATTAATTTAAAAATTCCATTTATGATAGTGTCAAAAGAAGAAAATACTTAGAAATTAAATTAAAATAGAATTAATTTAGGAATAGAACAGAGAGCCAGGGAATAAAACCTCACATATATGGTCAAGTGATTTGCAACAAGGGTGACAAGTATTTAATAGGAAAAAGACAATCTTTTCAACAAATGGCACTGAAAGAACTAGATATCCACATGCAAAAGAATGGCGTTGGACTCTTACCTGATGCCGTATACAAAAATTAACTCAAAATGTATCAAAGACCTAAATAAAAGAGCTAAAACTATAAAACACTCTGAAGAAATAATAGGATAAAAGCTTCACAAAATTGGATTTAGCAATGATTTCTTGGATATAACCACAAAGGCATAAGCAACAACAACAAAAAAAGGCAAATTGGACTTAATGAAAATTAAACACTCATGTGCATTGAAGCTCACCGTTAACACAGTGGAGAGGCAATTAATGGAATGGGAAAAAAATATTTACAAACCATATATCTGATAAGAGATTAATATCTAGAATATATAGAGAACTCCTAAAACTTAACCAAAAAAACTGATTCAAAATGTGCGAAGTGTGGTGGTTGGTGGGGGGAGGGGGGTGGTTAGTAATGGAAAAAAATACAATAAAAATTTAATTAAAAAAATAAATGAGCTAAGGATTTGAATAGATATATCTCTATAGAAGGTAAAAATGGTTAATAAGGAAAAGACATTCCATATCACTAATCATCAGGGGATAAAAATCAAAACCAAAATGAAATTACCTCTCACTTATTATGACGACAACTACCAAAAAAACAAACAGAAAATAACAAGTGTTGGTGAAGATAAGGAAAAATTGGAAGCCTAGTGCACTTTTGATGAGCATGTAAAATGATGCAGCTGCTGTGGAAAACAGTATGGCTGTTCCTCAGAAAAATGAAAAATAGATTTACCATATGATCTAGCACTCCATTTCTAGAAATATAACTGAAAGTGGGGTTTGAAGAGATAGTTATACATCCATGTTTACAGAAGTGATATTCACAGTAGCTAAAACATGCAGGTGACCCAACTGCCCATCAGCAGAAGAATGGATAAGCAAAATGAAATATTATTCAGCCTTCAAAAAAGGAAATTTTGACATATTCTATGACATGGATAAACCTTGAGGACATTATGGTAAGTGAAATAAACCAGTCATGGAAAGACAAATACTGTACGATTTTACCTCTGTGAGGTACCTAGACCAGCCAAAATCATGGAAACAGAAACCGGCATAGTTGTTTTCTGGGCTTGGGGGAGAAAAGAATGGGAGTTATTGTTTATTGAATATAGTTTCAGTTTTATATGATGAAAACAGTGTGTGCATGTATGTGTGTAAGTGCAAAATGCTTTGTCCAGATGCCTCAAGCTTAGAAGATAGACTAGCTTTTTCTATTTACCACAGCCACTTTTTAGGAAAACACATAGCTCTTTGGAATACTGGTCTAGGACTTCACAGTTTTCAGTCGTCAGAAGGGGGATTTTGTCCCTACTTTTATGGGAAAGCAGCTGGATGTAAAAAAGAGAAAAATGCACAAAGTGATTCTAAAAGTGGCAGTAGAGTCTGTTGGGTCATATGATAAAACAAGGACATTCAGGATGTATCTTCCTAAAACTAGGAGCGCAAATCAAAGCCTGCTACCTTTTTCTCTTAAGTCCATTTAGGTTTCAGATGTGTTCTCTCGCCAGCATTTCTGGACATGCATTCTGCCCCATTCCTCTTTCTTTCCCATCTCTACCCTCCCTTCCCCACGTCCCTTCTCTATCTGTACAGAGGTGTCCTTCTATGGTAGGAAAGATAAAAGCCCCCAAAGATATCCATGTCCCTGTTCCTGGAACCTGTGAATATGTTGTTACATGGCAAAGAGAAATTAAGCTTGTAGATGGAATTAAGATTGCTAACCAGCTGACCCAAAGATACAGAAATTATCCTGGATTATCTGGGTGGGCCCAGTATAGTTACAAGGGTCCTTATAAGTGAAAGGAGGGGGCAGAAGGGAGTCAAAGGGAAACATGACTAGAGAAGAGTTTATAGTGATATGATATAAGAAGGATTCTACGCATGTTTGCTGGCTTTGAAGATAAGGAAAAAGGCCAAGAGGCAAGGAATGTTGGCTGCCCCTAGGAGTTAGAAAAGGAAGAGAAACAGATTTCCTTTAGAGACTCTGTAAGGCATGCAGCCCCAGAACATCTAGAATTTAGCCCAGTGAGACCTACATCAGACTCCTGACCTCCAAAACTGTAAGATAATAAATTTCTATTGTTTAAGCTGCTAAATTTACAGTAATATATTTCAGCAGCAATAGACAATTCATATACTTTCTAGCTCAGTCTCCTCAGGACATCCACAGCTTTCCCGGGGAACAGGAACAGGCATTATAGGACATAGACTTTCCTAGACACTCAAATGAAAATAATGGGTTATTTACTCAGTTAATGGCAGATCTGTCAGCCAGTAGCAGAGAAACCCCTAATGGTGATGGAAACAAGATAAGTGCTTCTTTCTCTTCACATAGATGGTAACCAGTTTATAGCTGGCCTGGTGGCTCTATAGTGTCTATAAGGATCCAGATCCTTCCTGCTTACCCTGGAGTGTAGCCTAGAGATTTAAGATGGAGCTCTATGGTCAACATGACTACCCCCTAGGCCAGCAGCAGGAAGAAAGAGAGGCCAAGGACACACCCCCTCCCTTCAAGGACACTCCTACTTATATCCCATTGGCCAAAACTTAGTCATTTAACTAGACTGGGCTGTAAGATAGGATGGGGGGATGTATCTCTCTGCTAAAATATGTCCAGGTAAAATTCATAAATTTTAGTTTGTAAGAAACATTAGCTTCACAGAACAATGTCCTGGGCTTTGAAGATCATGACTGCTTCCAATTAGGATGAGTGGAAGAGTTAGACGACTCTAATGGATAAGTCGATATTCCATCTTGTCCCTGTGAGGTTTTGCAAGGTGGTTAGATGTTTGTTTGATTTGGGAGCATATAATTAATTTCCCTGTAGGGCTGAGATGGTTGGGTCCCTAACCATGTAGATGAAGCCATAGTTGTTAAAGCCTCTTTTTATTTATTTTTTGTTTGTTTTTCCATGTTTCTTGATCTTCAAGCATGTGAAAGCAGAGTCGGAGGTCTTTGTGGCTTTAAAATCCCTTGCATCTTCCCTCCCATTCTATTATCTCCAAACCCTTTGAAAATAAAGTGAGGCAACAGTTAATTTATCTTCCAGTTTATAATGTAAGTGTTGCCAAGGTGGCTTCTTTTGCAGTATTCTTTGTAAAATAGCACTCTCTAGCAAAGGGCTTCTTTGTTTTCAGAGAATTATACATAATTTCTTTTTTTGTTGTGAAGAACTAGATATGAAGAAATAAAAACCAAAGGAGATAATTTATAATCTTTTGCCTTTTTGTAATTAAAAATTGTTTATTTTAGGAAAAAATTTATGTATTGAACTTATGGGTTATTCTTCCTTCCCCAGGTTTTCTATTTGTCCTCTTTCCTTTTTTTAGATGGTAACCTGATCCTACTTTATCCCTAGATAAAAATATTCCCCAAAGCTAGTAGAAGTCACAGCTTTTAATATAAAGTCTTCTGAACAAGATTCAACAAATGTTGACTGAAGCAGTATTTTAATGCACCTCATTTCTGAGTCATGCACACTAGTTAAATTGCAGCTGTCAGACATTGCTTCATTATTGTGTGTCAGTGACCTCAAGGGGCATATTTACGTGGATGGTCCTGAAATAGCATGTGGCACCTTGGCATGAAGCAAGATCAGAATGCAGGGAAAATGAGCACTGAAAATAAAATAGGATGCATGCTGAGATGAACAACAAGAATAAAGCAAGACAGTGGGTCAAGAAAAAATTAGAAGAGAAATAAAATTGGGATAGGAAGTGGGAGGGGGTGGGGGCAAGGATGAGGAGGGAGTCTTGCAGAGTCAGCGGCAAAGAAACCACATCTCAATCTACATAGGCTCAGAGCTCCACTCTCTAAATATTTATGTTCCATTTGCTCATTTTAAAAAGTAGTAAGTCTGTTGTATTTAATTTAGAATGCCACTCGTGAACTCAATAATCATTGATATAATTAACAACTTAGACATGGCGGCCCCTCCCCCTGGACATTATAGATGTGTTTCTGAAGAGTTGTGAGTAAAGTGAACAGTTGTGAATAAAGCCATATTTCAGACAGAGTGAAGAGAAATGACTATTTAAAACAATGCTGGATGACAGACACTGCAAAGCCATATCTCAGACTGCAGTGTCTCTGCAGTTTTATAGGCCTAGGTGGTGAGAGTTACAGAAAGTTGGAGGGTGAGCCCATCCATCAAGAGAACAGGGTAAACTTGGTGTCCTTAATCCCGAAGGATTATGTAATTTTCCATTCCTCTCTCTGCTTGCCTTTCGCTCAGCCTCCCAGGGCACTTACACAGTATCTGACAAGAGTTGTACTCATTAAATAACAACAATAATAACGTATACCATCACCTTTATTATCTTGAGTTTATTTTATAAACTATGATAATTTTAATAACTTGCTTTATTAATGTGGTGGCCCGTCTTATTATAACTGAGTGGGTAACATTCTTTTTTTCCCCTAAATAAGGATGAAAGGGCGGAAGGTGGGGGGAGCTGGAAAAGCAAACCCCAGGTTCTGGTCTGCCTGACAATCTGAGGCGATGCTGGATTGAAGAGGTAGAAGGCTGGATCCCTTAGTTATGATGAACCTGCACATTTGGCAGCTCCTAAATTCTCTGACACATTCTTCTTCCTCATTTTCTTTCTTAGTGTGTCTGAAAAACCCACGCAGCAATCCAATGGCCAGCAACAACACTGCCAGCATAGCACAAGCCAGGAAGCTGGTGGAACAGCTGAAGATGGAAGCCAACATCGATAGGATAAAGGTAAGGATAACATTGCCCACACAGCTCATCTAGCCTTGATTGTAAGGAGCATGATTTGCAGCAACCTATCATTTACTTCTCTTTCCAAAGAAAGTAATGAAACCAGCGATAATGACAGAGAAACTTAATGATTAGGCAAAAGTTCATTTGTCTAATGTCTCTGCCTTTTCTAGATTTTCCAGCATAATATGAGAGTATAAATTGAAATTGGTTATCCATGTAGAAGTAAAAACAAAATAATAACAACAAAATAGAAATAAAACATAGATTCATGACTGAATTCTAGCCAAGGAAATTGAAGAACACATAAAATGTAGCAGTCCACCAGTCGACCTCCCTTACCTCGCAGGGCCCTCTTCTTATTTGGGTTTTAATTGTTTTCTGTCCTTATTTAAGTTCTAAGTTTGTGTCCATCTTTAATGTCTAGTCTTTCTAATTCACCATTGTGGGATTTCTTTTTCATTATACCTTATTGGATTTTTTAAAATCCGAAACATGAAAATCACACATGGCCTCCCTAAGAAGTCAAACAGCATAGAGGTTTAATGGAAGTTAATAATCTACTATTTTCCTCCTTTCTTTCACTGCCCAAATTTAACCTGACAGCTTTGGGCCTAACTCATATTGAACCAAGACTTTAAATCCAAACACTTTGTTGTCATATTTTAAATGTAAAGTTGACCTACATGGTATCATTATTAACAGATAGCTATGGCAGGGTTGGTAAAGTGAACTTTTGTCAACTACCAAAACTTCACTTTCCCAGAAGATCCAAGTATATCATAACATCAAACTCAGAAACATACCTCATTTTACTAAAAACTAGAACATTCTTCCAAATGTCTTTTGTATAAACTAGAATATTCCTATTTTCTCCATACCTCACTTAGTGAGTTGGACAATCCAACTGCCTTTGGAGTATACTTCTAGAGTGTCAATAAATTATGACTCATGAGCCAGATTCAGCCTACTGCCTACTGTATAAATTCATTTACATACAAATTCTTTTACATATTGTCTATGGCTAACTTTCACACTGCAACAGCAGAGTAGAGTAATTGCAGCAGAGACCACGTGGCCCCCAGAACATGGTATATTTACTCCCTGGCCTTTTACAGAAAACTTTACTGACCCCTAGTCTAGAGCAGTGGTTCACAGCCCATCTGTATATCCAGATCACCCAGGGAATTCTATAAACGGACCAATTCTGAGACCATATCCTATACCAATTAAATTAGAATCTCTTGGGATATGATTCAGGCATGAGTATGTCAATGTATAGCTGAGGTTGAGAACCTCAGTTCTAGAGAAAGGGGTTAGCTCCTTTTAATTCCCATCAGATATGTGCCAGAGAGTGAAACACCAGCTCTTCTCCCATAAATAAGCTGGGCAAATATCCATGGACACTTTTCCATTTATCCTAAGTCTCCCTTGTCAAATCTGAGGCCACAAGATGCAAACAGCTTCTATTCTTCTTGTTACAGATTTCATTCATCTTTATTCACAAATGAGGTAAAGGGTCTTCATCATCTGCCTTGCTCCTTTACCACCTTCCTCTTCTTCTTTCTTCCCTTTGCCTCTTCTGTATTCTCCCCTGCTGAAAAAGTACACTGTGGCAGGTGGGCACAATGGGAGAAGTGAGGTGGCCCAAGGATTTGGCTTCAGAAAGAGTTTTTCAGAGTTTTTTTTGCGGGGGAAGGGTGGCAGGCCTTCTAGGAAAGTCCACTTTGACTTGTGGGGTGATCCAACTAAGAGGAAAGCGTGAAGCACTATAGTGATTGGCATTTTCTGTTACTACTCAGCACCCCCAGGCTTGGCTCCTGAAGGCACTTGTGAGAGTGCTGATGGTGATGAAAAGGTAACAGAGGAAGAAGATGACAGATATAGGCCTTTTCAACCATAGGTCAGACCTTTATCATCTCACCTGAACTCTGAACTGCAGGAGACTCTTAGCTGATCTCTGAAATTCCATCTCACTTACCCTCCATGTTACTGCCAAAGAATATATCTATAAGAAATCTCATTATATTCTCCTCCTATGGAGAATCTTTTTGTGATTGCCATCACCTGTAAAATAAAATTCAGACATTTATTAAAATTATTTTTTGCCCTGGCCTGTGTAGATTCAGTTGGTTGGAGCATTGTCCAATGACCAAAAGGTTGAGGGTTTGATTTCCAGGCAGAGCACACACCTAAATGCAGGTTCGATTCTTGATCCCGGATCCCCAGGCCAGGCACATACAATCCCCAGTCTGGGTGCATACAGGAGATAACCAATCGATGCTTGTCTCTCACATCGATGTTTCTCTCCCTTCCTCTCTCTCTAAAAGCAATAGGAAAAAAAAAGTTCTCAGGTAAGGATAAAAAATGTATTTTTCAATTACAGTTGATATACAATATTATATTAGTTTCAGGTGTTCAACAATGATTAGACACTTATAAACCTTACAAAGCAATTACCCCTATAATTCTAGTACCTGTCTGGCACCATACATAGTTATTATAACATTATTGATTATATTCCCTATGCTGTAATTTATATCCCAGTGACTATTTTTGTAACTTTCAATTTGTGCCTCTTAATCCCTTTCACCTTTCTCAATATTTTACAGTTTTCTACTTACAGATCTTTTACCTCCTTGGTTAAATTTATTCCTAAGTATTTTATTCTTTTTTTATTTAGATTTTATTTATTTATTTTTAGAGAGAGAGGAAGGGAGGGAGAAAGAGAGAGAAACATCAATGTGTGGTTGCCTCTCATGCGCCCCCTGCTGGGGACCTGGCCTGCAACCCAGGCATGTGCCCTAGACAGGGAAGCGAACCTGTGACCCTTTGGTTTGCAGGCCAGCATTCAGTTCACCAAGCCACACCAGCCAGGGCGGTATTTTATTCTTTTTGATGCAATTGTAAATGGAACTGTTTTCTTAATTTCTCTTTCTGATTATTTACTATTAGTATATAAAATTGAATAAATTTCTGAATATTAATTTTACATCTCGCTACTTTACTGAATTCATTTATTTGTTCTAATAGTTTTGGATAGAATCTGCAGAATTTTCTATATATAGTTTCATGCCATCTACAAATAATGACAGTTTTACTTCCTCCTTTCCAATTCAGATGCCTTTTAGTTCTTTTTCTTGTCTGATTGCTATAGCCAGGACTTCCATGTTGAATAAAAATGGTGAAAGTGGACATCCTTGTCTTGTTGCTTATCTTAAAGAAAAAGCTTTTAGCTTTTCACTGTTGAGTATGATGTTAGCTGTGGGCTTGTCATATATGGCCCTTGTTATGTTGAAGTATGTTCCTTCATCCCCACTCTGCTGGGAGTTATCATAGATAGATATTAGGTTGTATCATATGTTTTTTCTGCATCTCTCGATATGATCATTTTTAGGCTTCATTTTGTTTGTGTGGTATTACACATTATAAAATTCAAATTCTTTAGCAGAGTATGCAAGGTCCTTCCGGCCCCTGCCCGTCTTTTAGCTTTATCCCTTTCCTTTTGCCCACATGTTACCAAACCACTTAATTACCTTGATGGGAATTTCAAATGCCTGGAATATTCACTCTCATCCTCTGTGCCCTTGTGTTTAACCAACTCCAATGAATTTCAGTTCCTTGAACATTTGGACCAATCATTACATCCCTTAAGAAGCTTTCCCAGAAACTCCTCCTAAAGTTGGATTTTTGCTGTTTCTTCAGTTGTTCATTAATTAATTTATGTAATAAATATTTTACTGGGAGATTCCTAAACTGCCAGGCCTCTTTAGGTCCTAGAGATATAGAGATGGATATTGAAGACATAACTCTTGCCCTCAAGGATCTCCTTGTCTAGTGAGGGGTTACACAATGTATGAACAAATTCAATCAAAGACGCCAATAAGATATCCAAGGAGCATAATTACCAAATGATTAGAAAGAAACCAACAATACACCCTGATTCCCTTTGTATACTACTTCTAAGGACATCAGATAAATCACTATTAAAAGAGGGGTAAAGCATCCATCTAACCAACTGAACACCAAGGAGTTACCTTCCTAGGTGATCTTTTATTCATATCTCTGAATTCCTCTAGATGTCATTAGACCTTAATTGTTGGAAATACAGCAGCAGCCTATGTTTCAGCATTTGTTCTGCACATTGGAGCCAGGCAGGCGTGCTGTGGTGAAGTGTCACATTATTTTTAGTTTAGCTGTTGGATAAAATTGTGACTCTGTTGACACAGTTGTCAGCTAGCTGGTCTAGAGCTTGGTTATCTGCCTTTAGGAGTCCCTTCAGGGCTCCTGAGCATTCAGGCTTCCAAACCTGCTTTTCATGCATGATACTGTCAGCAGAAAGGGGCTTCTCTTGGAACATCCCACGTTGTGATTTTTCTAGTCAGAGTAGTGACCTCTTCGAGCCGTCATTTCTGGAAGCAGGCCTTTATATACATCTGGCAGAGCCTACTGCAGCTGAGGTCACAAGGAACAGTAAGGGAGCACTGCTGGCCCTGGAGCTTCTGAGGGTCTTTTAAGCAGGAGGTGGCCTTCTCTCTCATGTGGGCTCCAGAATAATTTGGGCAACATAGAGCAGACCTACCATAAAAGAATCTGAATAGCATTTTCATTTTTAAACCTTCTTGTTTCCAATCCCTGTGCATCACAGATCCTGGGAGATTTGGGCCATGGAACCCATTATCTATTCATAAGCCTCAGGCATATATAAATTATACTCCCAGCTTCTCTGTGTTTCTTTGTTAGCATGTCATTCAGGGACAGAAAGTAAAATCCAAAGAAGCTGTCCAGGGGTCTGGGGGGAGGGACAGAGAGGGTACGGTGAAGACTGTGACACTCAGATATGTGAAACAGCAGTGTACTCACACTAAGGCAAATGAAAGAAACCTTGTCCTGAGAGCGCAAGTTGAGAGAACATGCATAAAAGTAAAGGACAGCAGGACTTCAGTAAATCTATTTATTCATTGCTCTATTAGGAGTCTTTGGGTTTCTAATAATAGGAA